TGTCCTGCTGTCCAATTCTGAGGAGCTTGCTCAGCTGCTAACTTTTGAAAGTTAACATAAAAAATTAAGTATTGCCTGCAGAGAGGCAGGGCTTAGCTAAATGCTTAACATTGTAAATGATGCAAGTGCAAAACTCCTAGTATGGACTTCAATAAATCTATTGTGAAAGGTCCTTGAACCCCATTGTTCATGACACTGGATTTTAACTCTTTAAGCAATTCAAATTTAAGAGATTATGCTCTTGAACACTTTGTTGCAGAGTGTAAAGATCACGCTAAATAGTAATTGGAAGTGCACATGTCCCAAAAGGCTCTCCATTAAGCACAGCCTGTCTAAGCAATCTTCAATAAGGAGACACTACTTCTGTCTCAACCACAATGAAGGAAGAGAAGGAAGAGTAATATTCCATTTTATAGAAAAACCACATCTTCTTTATCCAGTTTCCAACTGATGGGCAAATGGGCTGTTTCCAAGTTTTAGCTATTACAAACTGTGCCACTATAAACATAGGTGCACATATATCACTGTGATATGATTCTTTTAATTCTTTTGGGGTTTTGTTGTTGTTGTTTTTTTTTTAGTACTTAGGATCAAGCTCGTGTCCTTGTGCTTACAAGGCAGGTGGCAGAACCACTGAGCTAAGTCCCCAGCCCTCTTTTAATTCTTTTGGAAAGATACCCAGCAGATGGTTGGCTGGGTCAACTGGAACCTCTAGTCCCAGCTCTTTGAGGTATCTCCATATTGATTTCCATAGTGCTTCCACCACTCTGCACTTCCACCAACAATGGAGAAGGGTTCCTTTCTCCCCACAACCCTGCCAACATTTGTTATTGTTTGATTTCTTGATAGCAACCATTCTGTGTGGGGTGAGGTGGAATCTTGATCCAAGACCTGTTATGTAAAGGTACAAGATCCCAATAATGAATGTAATTTTACTGTATACCTAAAATGTACCAATAAAATCAATGAGAAATAAAAGTAAGAGAAGGAAACCTAGACTCTTCACTCTCATCTTCACTCACAGGTGCACTAGGTGTAGAATGTTCTTCTGCAGTTAAAGGACAAAGAACTGCATGGATTAAGCTCCATGTATAGAAAGTTTTAGGAGATAGAACAAAATATTGGGTACAAGAATGATCCAAGCCCTCTCTTACTCAATCCCACCTCTTTATATCAAATGTGCCTGTCTAAGAAAACCAAGAATTATATCTGGTAACATCTTGCAACACCTGAGAAAGTATCTGGGTACTAACGAGTGCCAGACTGGCACAACAGAATTTCCAACAAAGGGATGTAACACTGCGCTTCAGCCTATGAATTCTGCCCCATTACTCTGGTTGGTTCTACCATACCCACTGATGTTCCTTTTCTCTTGTTTTCTTTTGCTTTTGTCATTTTCTTTTTCCAGCCAGCACCTCTCTGCTGCAGCAGTCTCCATCACTACTTCACAAGACATTTCCCCTGGGTGCACTTCCTTCACCAGGTCCCTGTTTGGGCACCACCTGTAGGAACCAGCCAACAAGCTCAAATCAGACCCAGGCATCATTATGATGAAAATTAAAGAGATATATTATTTGCAGATGACATGATACTCTATATAGATGACCCCAAGAACTCCACCAAAGTCTTCTAGACTTAATAACCAAATTCAGTAAATCAGCTATATACAGGTTAACACAAAAATCAATTGCTTTTCTGTACATGGAAAACAGACTCACTGAGAGAGAAATGGGGCAATCAACTCCTTTCACAGTAGCATCCAAAAAAATGAAATACCTAGGAATCGACCTAACAAAAGAAAACAAAGACCTTTACTCTGAAAACTACCGCACTCTGAGAAAGAGATTGATGAGGACATCAGAAAATGGAAAGACAACACTAACACTTGCTCCCAGCCAGGAAGAAACAACACAGTGGAAATGGCCATATTTCCAAAGCTGCTGTATAGATTCAATGCAATCCCAATCAAAATCCCAGCAGCATACTTCACAGATCTGGAGAAAACAATCCAAAAATTCATTCAGAACAAGAAGAGACTTAGAATAGCAAAAGAAATTTTAAGCAATAAAGAGAAGTTAGGGGGTATCACAATCCTCAACCTGAAACTATACTACAAAGATACTGTGATAAAAACAGCAAGGCACTGGCAAAGAAACACACTCGAGGATCAGTGGAACAGATTAGAAGATACAGAAACAACTCCAGACACACTCAGCCACCTCATCTTTGACAAAGGAGCCAAACCACCTCACTGGAGGAAAGATAACCTTTGTAATAAATGGTGCTGGATATGTAACTTTGTTTTATTTGTAATTATATTATTTCAAAAATATTATATGAAAAGAAAATGAGAAAGAACATATAATGCTTTAAGATCATATCAAACTAATAATGTATTTTGATTATCAGTGTTACATAAATCTTTGTTTATTTCATATCCTTTTTTGCTGTCATATATATGTGTATTTGAAATTTTTATTTAGTATCTTCATTTCTTGTTGTCATATATGTTTGCAATGTTTAATAAAAATAAATCAATAATAAATGGTCCTGGAACAACTGGGTTTCAACTTGCCAAAGATTAAAACTAGACCTATATATCTCACCATGTGCTAAATTAAGATTGAAATGAATTGAATATCTAAATATTAAAACAGAAACACTAAATGAGCTGGAAGAGAGGTTAGGTAGAACTCTTGAAGACATTGGTGTAGGGAAAGACTTTATGAACAAAACCTCAGTTGCCTGTGAGCTAGCACAATCAGCAAGTGGGATGTCTTCTTATTAAAAAGCTTCTGCACAGCAAGAGAAATTACCAACAGTGTGAAGAGACAACCCACAATGTGGGAAAGAAATTTCTCCAGCTGATCCTCAGACAAAGGTCTACTATCTAGAATATATATAGAACTTTTTAAAAATTAGACCTCCCAAATTTAAAGACCCAAATCAAAAATAGGCATCTGAGTCCCAATGTTTACAGCAGCACAGTTTGTAATAGCTAATAGTTTGGAAACAGTCCATTTGCCCATCAGTTGGAAACTGGGTAAAGAAGATGTGGTTTTAAATTCATTCATAGGAAAATGGATACATATTGAGGATATACTCCTAAGTGAAATAAATAAGTCACACATCTGTAAATACCAAATAGTTTCTCTGGTGTGAAAAACTATAATAGTACATGAGATCCCAATGAGATAATTGACCATGTGAAACAGGAAGAAAAGGGCTAAAGGTGTAGGGAAAATGGGAAGAGTAGGGGAAAGGTAATAAGGGAAAAGAAAAAATATGAAAAACTGGAAATAAAGTGTTTGTAAATGGAGAAGGGAGGAGGGGGTGAAGGGAGGGCAGGGACAAGGGGAAAAAAATGAGAACCAAGACCTGTCATGTAAAAGTACAAGATCCCAATAATGAACATAATTGTACTGTATATCTAAAATGTACCAATAAACTCAATAAAAGAAAAAAATAGGCATCTGAAATGAACAGGTATTTCTCAGACAAAGAAGTAAAAATAAATATATTTTAAAATGTTCAACATCACTGGTCATTCAAGAGATGCAAATGAAAACAACAATGAGATTCCACCTCACCCCAGAAAGAATGGCTGCTATCAAAAAATCAACCAATAACAAATGCTGGCAGTGTTGTGGGGAAAAAGGATCACTGCTCCACTGCTGGTGGGAGTGTAGATTCATGCAACCACTGTGGCAAGCAGTATGGAGATACCTCAAACAACTAGGATTGGAAGTCCCATTTGACCCAGCTATCCACCTTCTAGGCATCTTCTGAAAAGAATTAAAAGAATCATACTATACTGATATAAGTTCACCAATGTTCATAGCAGCACAATTTGTAATAGCTAAATGAATAGCTAAAAGTTGGAAACAGCCCAATTGCCCATCAATGGAAGACTGGATAAAGAAAATGTGGGTTTTTTATAAAATGGAATACCACTCATCCATAAGAAATTAGAGACATCTATAGCTAAATGGATGCACATGTAGGCAATGCTCTTAAGTGAAATAAATAGGACAGGCATATAAATCCTGAATTGTTTTTCTAGTGTAAGAAACTGAAAGTGTAAATAAGCACTAAAAGGTATAATAGATAATGTGAAATAGGAAGAAAAGGGATTATTATTGCTATTTCAAAAGACTTGGCCAGCTTGTTGCCAAATGGAACCCTGCATTATGCATTGCCAACAGTTCCACTGAAATGTGACTGAGGCCTTCAAGCCCCTTACCAGACACACACAGGAACTAGGGATTCTTCGGTGCATGATACCAATCCTGGCCTCCCTTTGAGATACTCAAAAGGACACTAGGCATCAAGAAGACAGCACCAGATGCAAATAAAGAGGATGAGGACCTGGACTCAGGTACTGACTCCAGGTTCCTGCAATCTGGGAAGGGTGCATGTTGAAATGCATGCTTTCTTCTCTAGGAATTCCATGTGAAGAACTCTGGACCCCAATTCCAGGAACCTCAAATCCAAAACCCCAGACTCTCTCCTGCTAATGTGCTTAAATCTATTTTGGTTCTCTGAAAGACTCTCAATCCAAATTCATATTTCTCTTTCATTCCAATGAAGTCCAGGATTTTAAATTATGTTCTTGATCATCATATCAACATTTTGACTTCTCCTTTCATTTTAGGACTATAAACTCACATGTCAAGTGTTAGAGTATGCAAATGTTTCATATCACAAATTTTAGAGTGTTCATACTGCCCTCCTTGCTTCCATTTTTAGCCCTGGGTATTTCTGCCGGACCTCTTACAAATTCGGCCTGAAGAGCACTGTATGTGAAATACCCTTGAGGTCTTCCTCCTCCTCCTGGATGGCTTGTGTTGCAACCTGAGCAGGGTGCATGGTGAAGTGTATATTTGGGTGGAGAAATTACCAATTATATAATCAGGGCCAAAGGCCACAATTCTTTCCCAGAAAATAAAAAGGCAAACCATCCCAGCCATCATCATCTGAGAGCCCCACTCACTGCCACTATGTTGGCCTCAGTGATGCTTCTGGTGGCTCTCCTGGCCTTCCTGAGTATAATGGTTCTGAGGTCCACCTGGCAGCGGAGAAAGTTCAGAAAGCTGCCTCCTGGACCCACCCCACTGCCCTTCATTGGAAACTATCTGCAGCTGGATACAAAACATCTGTACAACTCCATTATGAAGGTATCCACAGCAAGGGGGTGGATGGGATGCAGCAGGCAAGGGTGCAGGGAGTTGCAGTGCTTCTCTGAGACTTTTTGTAGGGGATTGACCAGGAGACCCCATAGTTGTGGAATGAAGAGTTTTGAATGTGCAGCAGTTCCTTCCTGGGGGGGGAAACAATCTTGGGATGTTCCTCCTCTTGACTGTCAAGCCTGGGAAAAATATGCCCCACTCCTTTCCTTCTGGCTGCTGAGCCAATTCTGGGAATTACTCCTCTAACGAATCCCACTCACCCCCATCAGATCAGCAAGCACTATGGCCCTGTGTTCACCATCCACCTGGGCACTCGCTGGATCGTGGTTCTATGTGGATATGATGCAGTGAAGGAGGCTCTTCTGGACCAGGCTGAGGATTTCAGTGGGAGAGGCGAGCAGGCCACCCTCAACTGGATTTCTGAGAGCTATGGTGAGAAAAGTACTAAGTGTGGAGATGGGCCAGGTAGACTTCCTCCTAATTCACCTGCTCTCTCAAGTTGGCGAGAAACTTTCAACTGGTCTTCAGTGCACAGCAGGTGTTCTTAGAGGTGTCATTGTTGCCCCTCTCTTTCTCTGTCTGGAGTTCCTGTGCTCGATTTTTCTCTCCCTCTCTTTCTGCCCTTGTTTGCTGTTCTTTCTCAGCAGAAGTCTTGTCCCTTTACTGCATCTATTTATGTAGCAGAACCTTTCCAAATCCCCCTGTTGCAATGCTTCTCCTCTAACTTTACCTGATTTTGCGGGGTGGGGGGGGGTACCAGGGATTGAACTCGGGTCCTTGAGCTTGCAAGGCAGGCCACCGAACCACTGAGCGAAATCCCCGGCCTTCATTTTATCTGACCTTTTTGTCAACTTTAGCTTCTATGTTTCCCTATAATTTGTTCTCCCTACTTCTGCCTCCTTTTCTTCTTCCTCCATCAGAATCTCACACAATGTCTACTTCCAAGTCACCTTGCCTCACCTCCACACAACCACATTGCTCTTTGAAGAATCTGTTTCCCTCTGTCATGCTCTGTTCCACATGTTAGTTGAGACTCCTTCATAATTTTTATCTTTACCTGCAGGTATCAACAGTCTCATTTGCCCTCCACCTACTCTTCTCCCTCCTACTTTTCTTGCTCTCCCTCCATTTGTCCTGTGTATTATGTTACTTCGTATATTTATCTTATAATTTTTCCTTTCCTTGCCAATGTAGGTCTTCTGATCCTCACAGTTTTCCCATGGCTCTGGCACGCACTCCAATCGGGAAATCCCCCAACTCTTCCTGATGTCTGTTCTCTTACTCTCTCCCTGTGCCATCTTTCTTCCACTATTATCCCTCTCTGTAAAAAGCCCACCTCTCCCAAGACCGGTAGGGATGGACTATGACCTGTCCTCTGCATCTCTCGCCTCCCTACCCCTCTATGGTCACCTCCTCAGGTGTAGCGTTTGCCAATGGGGAGCGAGCCAAACAACTCAAACGCTTCTCCCTTTCAACTTTACGGGACTTTGGCATGGGGAAACGTGGCATTGAGGAGCGCATCCAGGAAGAGGCTGGCTTTGTTGTTCAAGCACTGGAGAATACAGGTGGTAAGCATGGGATCCTGAAACATGTAGTGAAGAAAAGGAAAACATCCAGCAAAAGGACCTGCATGCTGGCACTGGGGATTTAGCTCAGTGGTGCTGCTACCTGCCTCACAAATGCAAGTTTCTGAGTTCAATTCCCAATACAAAAAAAACAAAACAAAACAAAAAAAAAAAAAAACAGGACCTGCATGTTTTAGTGTGAGCTGAGGTCTTGGATAAATATGACTTTCCTCACAGCTATATGTTTGGTGCTAGAAGGTGGCTTATTATAGCAGAGTCCTACTCAAAGTGTCAGATAGGCATTAGTCTGCCCAAGTGAGAAAAAAAACCCTAATGATATAGATAGATAGATAGATAGATAGATAGATAGATAGATAGATAGATAGATAGATAGATGATAGATAGATAGAGATATAGATATATCTGTATCTGGCTTTCAGGCACCTTCATAGATCCCACCTTGTACATGAACCAAGCAGCCTGCAATATCATCAGCTCCATTATCTTTGGGGACCGCTTTGACTATGAGGACAAAGAGTTCCTTTCACTGATGGGCATGATATTCAAAACCTTCCAGTTCATATTTACCTCCAAGGGACAGGTACTGTGCTCTAGCCTGGGTCCATCTACTACCACAAGCTGTCAACTGCACCCTCACATGGCCACCAGTGCCTCAAACTCTGATTAATCTCCAGAAATGGCCCCCTCAAAAAGAGCTCCAACTCTTGAACAGTTGAAAAATTGCCCTAAACCCAGAAGGGGTGCCCAATACACAGCATCCAGGGCACCTGGATATTTCAAAAAATTCCAAAAATAAATGCTGAAGGCAAGATACATCCCCTCTACTCAGTTCTCTTAGTGTTTCTTCTTAAGGCCATTCTTAATGTTTTAGCACCTAGACAAATGACCACCTCAGCCCCACCCGAGTACTTAAGCATTTGGTGGGAAAATTCAGCCCACCTCAATCATGTGATCTTTTCACACCCATCTGCAAACAGTCCCCTGAAATATCTAGATAAACTCCTACTCAGCATATTTGAATACATGAACATTTCCACGGAACTACTACCAAGACACAAATCCTATAAATATTTAGATGGATTGCTTTCAATCACCCAAATATGTGTCCTGCACTCAACAAATCTCACAAGGTCCCCTTGTGCACCCCAACTGAACACATAACCCCATGAACAAGTGTCTCTCCTACTTTAGCACCTGAAATCGAGACACATTTCATGCCTGAACACTCATACAGAAGCCTCAGATCCAAATCACACAAATATCTTGTCAGCTGTCTCCGACATTGCCCGACAAAATGCTTAACCACCTGGTTAGTTTTCCCAGCATGGCATACCACCTGAAAAGCTCAATAACTACATGTCTTCCTACCCAATCCCATTTTAATATTACAAAACCTAGATTTGTGTTCCTATCCACTGTCACCTAAGTATCTTAAAATGGGATGGGACCCCAGTTCATCTCACCAAAAATATTGGATGACAGCCCTTATACATAACTCCTAAGAAACCTGTATATATTTTCCATACAACCCCAAGTAAAGACCTGCTGCCTTGAAGCAGTATGAGTTGATCTTCCATTGTCTTCTCTCCTCAACCCAAAGCTCCTTGAGATGTTCACTTCAGTGATGAGGTGCCTGCCTGGACCACAGCAAGAGGCCTTTAAGAACCTGCATGGTTTGAAGAATTTTGTAGTTAAGAAGGTGGAGGAGAACCAGCACACACTGGATCCCCATGCTCCAAGGAACTTCATTGACTCCTTTCTCATCCGCATGCAAGAGGTACATCCAGCAGCCAGGGTGGGGCATTCCAAACTTGGGCAGACAGAATCAGGCTGATGGAGGCAACCGAGTCCCATTCCCATTAGCCTGGATCATAACAATCCTCACCATGCCCAGAATAATTAACAATAACTGTTTCACTTTATAAAGAGGAAGGATATGTGGGGGAAAGCATAACAGCAATCACCTTTACAGTACTGCCATGTGCCAGCCACTATTATAAGCGCTTGACTGCATTAACCTACTTAGTACCCACAATGGTTCTTCTATGAGAGGGGGAGCTCAATATCATGAACTTTTATTCAGGACTGGCTGGAGTCCAGGCAGTCAAAACAAGTGAAAGTATTCTTAGGGGTGAAAATCGTGACTGGACGCAGCTTGTAAGGCTCTTTAGAGCAATTGCCTTTTTCATTTCTATAGACGGGGACCTATGAGGGACAGGGATTACACGGCAAAAATTACACCATAAGTCTCCCGGTAAAAGAGAGCTGTCTTCCCAGCTGTGTTGCAGAACTACCTCTCTCATATTAAATCTTCCAACTGCCCCATTTGGTTGGGTTAGAAACCTCACTGTCTATATTATTTATACACATCCTATGCGGTAAGAAGTTTGAAATCAACAAGGTGCATTGAACTTATCAGTGCAGCCCCTCCTGCTTCCTGGTCTCAGTTGGTGGCAGAATGCACAAGAGTTCTGGAACTTTAAGCTGTTATATCCTCAATTTTACAAATGAGGGAAAATCAAACTCAGGAAGTATATATGACTTTCCTTGGGTCACACAGTAAGTAAACAGAGAGCTCTAGTCTAACGCTGATCTATCTGACTCTATAGCTGGGGCTTTTAGCCAACATGCTTTCTAATCTTTCCTGCCTTGGTCATCAGATGTATATGTGGGAGAAGTTAGCCAGTGTGATAATGGAAGATTCCCATCCTCATCTGTATGTCAGTCACCCATCAGTGGAAATCAATACTGAGATTTATGGAGACTGAATTTTAATTGATCGGGGAAGGCATTCTCTCATCTTAAATAGCAAAAAGTGCGGGGTGCTCCCACTTAAAATTGTATGCCTTAGGAAATGTGTTTTTACATTTTTTTCAAATAAGTGCATGTTTATGATTCATGCAGTTTACATCATCTTGATGATTGGTTACATGCATCTATTACAATGTGATTTTTTAAAATCCCCTTCATCTTCCCTTCTTCGACTCCCTCCTCCTTGGGCTCCTTTTTTGTGTTTGTTCATGTTTTTGTTTCAGCTCATCTTATGACATGTAGTGTTTATATTAATTGGGGCTACTAGGTTCTTGTAAGTGGCAGATCTTTATTCCTCTCATTTCCCCTTACTCTCCTCTCTACCCCCACCCCTCACTCTTGTTCCCTTGGGCCTCTTTCCTATTGCATAATATCCATCCTCTTCACCCTTTCTATCATTTTTTATCATTTTTGTTTGCATTTTGCCTCCCTGAAATGAGAAATACCAAATGGTATTTAAGCCTGTATGTCTGGTATATTTTAAGTCAACATTATGTATTCCAGCTGCCTCTATTTTCCTACAAATGTCTAAAATGTGTTGATCTTTATGGCCAAGTTGTGTTTCATTGTATATAAATACCACATTTTCTTTATCCAATCATCTTTTGACGGGTATATAGACTGCTTGCAGGATTGAGCTATTAAAAATTGTGCTGCTACAAACATTGGTATGTGTGTTCCACTGTAGTATGACTGGGAAAGATACCTAGCAAGGGGTAGCTGAGTAATATGGAATTTCAAATTGTAGTTCTTGGAGAAATCTTCATATTGATTTCCATAAGGGTTGTGCTTGTGTCTGTTCATTTCTCTAGTTTTGGACTGGATCTTTCATTTTAGGAGTTTAGCTTTTTTGAGATCTTCATATAATGTAGATATTAGTCTGTCTGAGTAGGAGCTGGCAAAAATGTTTGCCCATTCTGTACATTGTCTCTTCACTCCATTAATTGATTATTTTGCTGTAGATAAGCTTTTTAGTCTGACAGAATCCCATTTGTTGATTCTTTTTTTTTTCAGCTTTAATTGAGTTTATTGATACATTTTAGGAATACAGTACAGTTACATTCATTGTTGGGATCTTGTACCTCTACATGACACATCTTGGTTCTCATTTTTTCCCCTTGTCCCTGCCCTCCCTTCACCCCCTCCTCCCCTCCCCATCTACAAACACTTTATTTCCATCTTTTCATTATCTCACATTTTTTTCTTGTTCCTTATAACCCTTTCCCTACCCATTCCACCTTCCCTACACCTTTAGCTCCTTTATTCCCATTTCTCAATGTCAGTAATCTTATTAGGATCTTATGTATTATTGCAGATTATTCACACCAGGGAAACTATTTGGTATTTACACATGTGTGACTTATTTATTTCACTTAAGAGTATATCCTTAATATGTATCCATTTTCCTATGAATGAATCTATTTTCTCATTCTTTATGGCTGAGTAATATTCCATTTTATATAAAAACCACATCTTCTTTATCCAGTTTCCAACTGATGGGCAAATGGGCTGTTTCCCAGTTTTAGCTATGACAAATTGTGCCGCTATAAACATGGGTGTGCATACTTCTCTGTGATATGATTCTTTTAGTTCTTTTGGAAAGATACCCAGCAGAGGGATGGTTGGGTCAAATGGAACCTCCAGTCCAAGCTCTTTGAGGTATCTCCATATTGATTTCCATAGTGGTTGCACCAGTCTGCACTCCCAATAACAAAGGAGAAGGGTTCCTTTCTCCCCACAACCACACCAACATTTGTTATTATGTGATTTCTTGATAGCAGCCATTCTTTGTGGGGTGAGGTGGAATCTCAGGGTTGTTTTCATCTGCATCTCTCGAATGACCAGTGATGTGGAACATTTTTTCATATATTTACTTGCTGCTTTTACTTCTTTGTCTGAGAAATGTCTGTTCATTTCAGATGCCCATTTTTGAATCAGGTCTTTATATTTGGGGGGGGCTGATTGTTTTGAGTTCTTTAT